ATCCGTATTTTAGTCTAACACATGAAATTTACCTTATTAACATTTAATCTGGGCGTTTACACTGGCATCCTTACTGGGTCTGTGTGGGACCGTTACATTATCCTGTCTAGTCTATGAGGAAAGGAGGTAGAGGGTTCACAGAGGCCCCTTGCTTGTACCTTTATTCTCAACATGTTGGGATGACTTATAAGTCTACATGTACCTAGTTACACAAGTGGCATAAAAAGATTCCTGCAAAGAAACTGTAGGTTGAAGAGCGTACTAGTCATGGGAGCAAAAGTGGACTACACACATACAGGTCAGAGCTGATGATTCTCATATGATTAGTGAAGTAAAAATCAATGACAAAATAATCCCATCTGAGGAGACATACAAAAAACCTTGAAATTATAAAGAAGACAATTTGATCTATGGAATTATATCCATTATTGTTAACAATGAAAGTATCTGTTACTCTTTGTTTGTCTAAATACTGGCTAGTGCTAGTAGGAAGCCATCATAATTAACAAACATACAGGACAGGAAGACAAACTTATGGAAGGTTTTCAGTGAATTTTTTTTTTAATTTATTAATTTTTTTGAGACGGAGTTTCACTTTGTCACTCTGGGTAGAGTGCTGTGGCATCATAGTTCACAGTAATGTCAAACAAACTCTTGGGCTCAGGTGATCCTCTTGCTTCAGCCTCCTGAGTAGCTGGGACTACAGGTGCCTGCCACAACACCTGGCTAGTTTTTCTTTCTTTCTTTTTCTTTTTTTTTTTTTTTTTTTTTGTTGCAGTTTTTGGCTGGGGCCAGGTCTGAACCACTACCCCTGGTATATGGGGCCGGCTCCCCACTCCTTTGAGCAACAGGTGCCGCCCACTAGTTTTTCTATTTTTAGTAGGTAGGGTCTTGCTCTTGCTCAGGGTTGTTTTGAACTCCTGAGCTCAGGCAATCCAGAGTGCTAGGATTACAGGCATGCCTATCCTTAGGCAATCTTTCTGTGACATTTTAAAGTTATGTGATACATAGTTGCATATCAAAAAATGTTTTAGTAAAATTAGTAATAAATATTTGAAAGCCTCCTTTTGGTTTTCTTAAGAGCAAAAGACCAAATACAATACATTACTAGTAACATTGGGAACATCCCTCATCCTTCCTGTTATAGTAAAATAATGAAATAAAACATAGGAAACAACATGGTAACAACTTAAATGGATTTTTTGGTGAACAAATGCTTTCAGAATATGTATAGAAATAATTGAAGAGGATTTGAAGCATCAAGAATTAAATTATTAAAAGTGGGAGGATGCTATGTATTTAAAGCACAGATATTTCTATGTTTTGCTTCAGTCCTAAAATACATGAAGAACTAATTTGTGCCTTTAAAATAAAAATGTATCAGAGTAGGTATATTCTCAAAAATAAATGACTTTATGAATATAAAACAATGTATAGGAGGGAATTTCTTGGGATAATGGTAATGTTTTAAATTTTTAAGAATTTAGATTGCATTTTTTTTTTTTTTTTGAGATGGAGCCTCAAGCTATCCCCCTGGGTAGAGTGCCATGGCATCACAGCTCACAGCAACCTCCAACTCCTGGGCTCAAGCGAGTCTCCTGCCTCAGCCTCCCAAGTAGCTGGGACTACAGGCGCCCGCCACAACGCCTGGCCATTTTTTGGTTGCAGCCATCATTGTTGTTTGGCGGGCCCAGGCTGGGGATTCTAACCCGCCACCTTAGGTGTATGTGGCTGGCGCCTTAGCCGCTTGAGCCACAGGCCCTGAGCCTAGATTGCATATGTTAATACGAAGCCATCATAATTAACAAACACACAAGACATAGTAAAATAATGAAATTTGTTAGAATTTTGAAATGATGGACTTATTTACATTTCATTATATGTAAAATTTATTTCAAAAGAAAGAAGAATCATATGTATGCTTCTTTCATTGTAAATGATGTGTATCATTTACACTGTCAGAGAAAAATATATTGATGTCTGACTTAGAAATGCATAAAAAATCTATGATGGATTGGTGAATGGATCAATCATGTAGTATGATATAGTAATGGTATGGTATAATAAATATAGTAAAAATTATAAATACAAAGCCTTGGTGGTGGGTATATTGATGGTCTCTGTAAAATTCTTTTAGCTTTTCGGTTGCAATCTATAGTAGCACAGAAGTTGATGTTAGATGTGCGAAGGATACGTCAGGATGTCATTAATGCTAATTTTTATAAAACTCTGACCATTGAAGTGTAGAATCTGTATGATGCTCTGTAATGAGATGTAATGAGATGATGAAGCTCATAAGAGCTTCTCTGATTATCACACAACAAAGATTATAAAAGAGTTGTTGAACTTAAAAGATGGGCAAAGCATTTTTTTAAATGAAAAGACAAGATATATCAAATTTGCTGACCCTTTTTATATGACAAGTGGCTATGTAATATGCTATGTTGCAGAATTAAAATCAACTAACCAATAACCAATCAGCATAAGTCTTACTTCATCTCTTCAAAGTAGACTCCATCTCAAAAAAATAAAATAAATATGGGACAATATTTTATATACTCTTGAAAAATCTTCCAGGTAAAGGATTTTAGTCAATAGAGTGAGGGAACAGGGAAAAGGGAAATGTTAGTTAAAGTTACAAAGTTTCATTTAGATAGGAGGTTTAGTGGTTGATTGTACAGCTTGGTTATTACAGTAATAATGTGTTGTATATGTCAAAATTGCTAAAAGAGTGGATTTTATTTTATTTTTAATTTAAAAAAATTTTTTGAGATAGAGTCTCAAGCTGTCACCCTGGGTAGAGCGCTGTGGCATCACAGCTCACAGCAACCTCAAACTCTTAGGCTCAAGCGATTCTCTTGCCTTAGCCTCCCAAGTAGCTGGGACTATAGGTGCCTGCCACAATGCCCACCAGGGCACTCTACCACGGGTGACAAAGTGAGACTGTCTCAAAAAAAAAAAGAGAATCATCATTGCTCTACTATAAATGTTGTTTTTGTGAGAGTGAAAAGATCTTTTGTGAGAATAATAAATATGAAACTATTTCAATGTTTATAATCTTATTGATTTTTATTTTCTATTTTGTGTATGTTTCATATTATATAGAACATAGTAGTAAAATAGTTTGTACATAATAAATGTTCATGTATTGGAGGACTATAAATTTTTTTGTTTGGCTGTTTTGTTTGGCTGGTTAGAGTATATAATCAAAGAAGTTTGAAGAACTCTTCACTGATGACTCATAATGTAGCATACTATTATTAATAGCAGTAATTACTTATTCTTAAAGTCTAAACCGTAATTTTAGGGATTATAAGTCAGCACATGGTTTCTAATATGTGAGCATTTGTTTTTTTAAGGTTGAGCCTTGATAGTTTAAGTTTACTTTTAGTCTGAATTTTAAAGCCGTGGTTCTCTAAGTATAGAGCAGCATCAGCATCACCTGGGAACATATTAGAACTATAAATTCGTAGGCCATCTCCCAGACCTACAGAATGAGAAATGCTGGCTAATAAGCTTGCCAGGTGATTTTAATGCTTACTCGGGGCTGAGAACCACTGATCTAAACGATTTAGATTCACAGCTCATCCCCTCTTCTTTCTTCCTGTTTCATGATGTGTCTGAGATAGTTTCTTTATGTTTATAGCACATGGTATATCTCAGTTTTAGCTTCGGCATTTTTTCATCTCTACTTTTTTTTTCTTTTCTACCTTATATTTTCTTTTCTTCTCCCTTCCTCTTCTTTTCCTTTCCTTCCATTGTGAAAAACTGTTCATTAGTGTTATGATCACAAAAGAGATCCTTCTTTGGTTCTTAAAATTTGAGTGCCGCAGCTAATGTACTAAATAGCATATACTTAAATGAGATTTTTTTTAACATTAAAAATTAATTTTGTTATTTTCAGTTAGATTTGAATATGCATATGATTAATTTCCTATTTTTTCCTGTCTATACTCTCTTGATAGTGAGCTTTATAATCTCAAAATAGCTTTCTGACAATTAAAATTTCAAAATATGTATTTCAAAATATGAATCATCTAGATTCAGTAATTGTTGAATTTTGATTTATTTACTTTATTTCTCTTTCCAGACACACACAAATATGTACACATCTTTTTTCTGAAGTATTTGAAGTAAATTGTGTATTAATACCTTTACTCTTAAGAATAAAGATCCAAGTAGCCCCTAATGGGACAAGTATGACATTGTTTTGAAAGGCCAATTTTTAACAAATGCCAAACCATTTATTAAAGACCTTTAAATAAGGTTCTACTGTAAATGTCTCAATGAGGAAAAGGTATAGAACTCCAAGTTGTGGACGTATAAGTGAATGAATCTTCCAGCCTTTGTCAACCAAAGTTTCTCATCTGAACTACAAAATACACAGGATGATTTGAGAAACTATTTCATCAGTTCCTCTGAGGCTAGAACATAACTAATACCAATCTGTATGCAGGGGAACAGTTAATTCATTGCTTATGATGGATATCTTAGGGCTCTAGGGCAGCAGTTCTCAACCTGTGGGTCGTGACTCACAGGAACTAACTGTAGTAAAGGGTCTCCGCATTAGAAAGGTTGAGAACCACTGCTCTAGGGCTTAATCTTTCCCAGGAGCCCAGGTTAGTTGGATGCGTATGTGGCAAACTCTTTTTTTTTTTTTT